TTATGGCGCTCACTGCATTTAAGGCCTTATGATTGTTGCTACGCCAATGCACCGCAGAAGCAAGAATGAAAAAAGTCAATAAATAGACTTATATGATTTGCACTTAGTATTATTTATGCACAAATCACGTCGGGGTCACCAATGTTGAACTAATAAGCTTTTTTATTAGTTGTTGCTAAATTAAAATACGAATTTCAGGTTGCTTTAGGCTTGTTAACAATTTATTAGCGAGAGAGAGTACAGCAGGCGAGACGAGAATGCGTTTTATGTCGAGATCAGAATTCGTACTGATTTACAAAGAGACGGCCAGCCGAATGCAGGGCCCAAGAATGCAAGTACACAAAAAACGAGAGAGCTAGAATGGCAAGAGCTACCTTTCGCGATGCAATTAATATAAGAGATCGAATTAAGACGTTAATTAGCTGCTGCGGCTGCGTGACCCAACACAGTTCCTGAATGAAAATCATATCGACATTATGCTACTGGTAGAGACGCACCTCACAAACAAATACAACTTCCAAATAAGAGGCTACACTTTCTATCGCACAGACCATCCAGATGGTAAAGCCCACGGCGGAACCGGCATCCTAATCAGGGAACGCATCAAGCACCACTTTCACCAAAGGTTTTCAACTAATTACCTGCAAGCCACGTCTATCAAAGTGCAGTCAGGCAACGGAAACCTCACCATAGCCGCTGTCTACTGCCCGCCTCGATTTACAATTTCTGAAGGACAATTCATGGACTTCTACAACTTGCTTGGAGACCGCTTTATAGCTGCAGGGGACTATAATGCCAAACACACGCACTGGGGATCACGCCTTGTGACTCGCAAAGGAAGGCAATTATACAATGCAATCATAAAACCGAACAACAAATTAGACTATGTTTCCCCTGGCAGCCCCACATACTGGCCAACAGACCCCAGGAAAGTTCCAGACCTAATAGACTTTGCGGTGACAAAAAACATTCCCCGCAATATAATAAGCGCCAAAGCGCTTTCGGACCTGTCGTCAGACCATTCGCCAGTGCTAATAACTCTTCTTCAAAGCACAAGAACCACAGATCACCCCCTCAGGCTGACGTCGCACAGAACCAACTGGTTAAAATATAAAAAGTATGTAAGCTCACACATCAAATTGACACCTCACTTTAACATCGAAGCGGACATCGACTGCTCTACCGATGCTCTTGAAGAAGTATTCGTGGAGGCAGCCACTATCTCAACACCACAAGACAGGGACGCGCAAACCAACCACTTCAAAACTAATCTGCAAATTGAACGGTTAGTCCTAGAAAAGAGGCGCCTGCGACGTGCCTGGCAAGCCAACAGATCGCCGTCATCAAAACAACGTCTTAAGGAAGCCACTCGCTCACTAAATCGAGCTCTAAAGCAAGAAACAGAAAATGCACAGCTGCAGTACATTACAAAACTATCGCCAACCAGTACAAAACATCCTCTGTGGAGGGCTCACCCAAATCTGAGCTCTCCAATCGAAACAGTGACTCCGATAAGAAACTCATCTGGCATCTGGGCCCGCAGCGACGAAGATAGAGCCGAAACTTTTGCGTTACATCTAAGAAACGTCTTCCAGCCGAACCCTGCCACTGGTTCATTTTTCCTACCACAAATCGAATCTGAATCTATTTCCCTACCACCATTGTTTCAGCCAAAGGAGATCGCGAAAGTCATTGGGGAACTGAAACCAAAAAAGGCCCCTGGCGGTGACCAAATAACCCCAAAAATGTTAATCGAACTTCCAAACTCTGCCATTGAGGTTATCTGTAAGCTCTTCAATGGGATTTTAACTCTCGGCTACTATCCGAAAAAATGGAAAAAATCTGTTATCATTATGATACCGAAGCCCGGAAAAGACCACACAATTCCGTCATCCTACAGACCAATTAGTTTATTATCGTGTCTGTCTAAGCTGTTCGAAAAATGCCTTCTAACTCGCATAACACCATATCTAGGAGCACACAATGTTATCCCTGCTCATCAATTTGGATTTCGTCAAAACCATGGAACAATAGAACAAGTTAACAGAATAACATCAGAAATACGCACAGCCTTTGAGCATCGGGAATACTGCAGCGCAATATTCCTCGATGTATCTCAAGCCTTCGATCGAGTATGGCTAGATGGCCTCATGCACAAAATCAAAACACACTTACCTGATTACACTCACAAGCTTCTTGAGTCGTATCTATACAACAGGACCTTCGCAGTAAGGTGCAATACAACAACATCCGACGACTACATTATCAAAGCTGGAGTCCCGCAAGGAAGCGCGCTAGGGCCTACTCTGTTCCTCCTATACACAGCGGATATTCCCACGAACGAGCAGCTAACAACATCAACGTTCGCTGACGACACCGCAATTTTAAGTCGCTCGAGGTGCCCAGGCCGAGCCACAACACAGCTAGCAAACCACCTCCTCGTAGTAGAGAGGTGGCTATCTGATTGGCGGATTAAAATAAATGAACAAAAATGTAAACACATAACGTTTACTCTCAACAGGCAAACATGCCCTCCACTATTATTGAATAATACGCAGATTCCCCAAGTCAACGATGTAACGTATCTCGGCGTCCACCTTGACAGACGACTAACCTGGAGAAGACACATCGAACGCAAGAAAGTACATCTAAAACTAAAGGCCAGCAGCTTCCACTGGATTCTTAACGCTCGTTCGCCCCTGCGTCTGGACTACAAGGTTTTGCTCTACAACTCCACTCTCAAGCCCATCTGGACATATGGCTCCCAGCTATGGGGGAACGCCAGCAGAAACAACATAGACATTATACAGCGCGCTCAATCGAAAATCCTGCGAACTATCACTGGGGCACCATGGTATATTCGCAACCAAAACATCCACAGGGACCTAAGCATTCTTACCGTTAAAGATGAAATAGACAAACAAAAAGCGTCCTACAACGAAAAACTCTCTGTGCACCCCAATCGCCTCGCAAGAGGCTTGACTTGGGTTTCCAGCCGATCCCGTCTACAACGCAACGACCTGCCAAGCCAGCTATAACTTTCGGGCCCCTTTAGCACAACATCAGTCATATGACTGTGAGTTAGATTAATTAGTCTAAGATTTGATACACTTATTGTTAGTATCCAAAGGGAGAAGATTCAATAAATAAATAGCAAAGCATTTAAAAAAAAAAAAAAAAAAAAAAAAAAAGTTAAAGTCATTACACCGAGTTTGTGTTGAAACCTAAATTTCTTTGGGTTTTAGCGTCTTTTCGCTTATTTGATATTAACCAGTTTAGTTTTTGTGTTTTGTTTGCATTTAATTTATCAACTTTCTTGCACTTTTCGCGGAGCTCGCACAAGACACGTCCACTCTCTTCAGCGGTCGCGAATCGAAGTCAATATTAGCATTCAAAATATAACTGCATGCAAGTGAATCCACTCCTGGTAATATTGAGCGAGAACGTACTACAGCTGCCGCAGTCCATTGTTGTTGTTGATGGCGGGAGCATCTCAAGAGAGCACCTTCAGAGAGAGCACTCTGAGAGGCTCGCCATCCAGTCAAATGTGTCGATAAGTTGTTGTAGAAAGTCGAACGTCAGAAAGGTATAGACGGAGAGCGCATAACTATTAGGCGATGAAGAGTAAGAATCCAGCCGACTTTCTAGGTACTTCGGGAGAGGCGCAAGATGATGAGACCGCAACTCCGAGGAGCGCGCCGATATTAGAACCAGGCGGACGACGAAAGTCGCGCACAGCGGACAACAAAAGCTCAAGCTGATGTTGTTGATAGTGCAACGGGAGAGAGGCGCAAGATGATGAGAGCGCAACTCCGAGGAGCGCGCCGATATTAGAACCAGGCGGACAGCGAAAGTGGCACAAAGTGGACAAGAAAAGCTCCGGCTGATGTTGTCGACGGTGCGTTAGGAGAGAGTCAGAAGATGATGAGAGCGCATTGAGAAAGGCAAGCAGCTGCCAATGTTGTTGCGAAAACGCCTTCGACAAATGAGGAAAGGCTTGCAGAAGATGTCCCGCAAAAGTATCGACGCCAGCGGCGTCGTAGGGGTTTTTTGATGTATGACTTGATGTTGAAGTTTGTCCAGGCTCCGGGAAATTAGATAAGATTCCATCCCCTACCACAATGGCCCGTTCTCTATTAGTAAATCTTTTGACCTTAACTGAGTTCGTCCAAAAATCGATTTTGAAGACTGAATCGTAAAGCTGATCGGGGATACCAAGCTTGAAATTTACAATGTTTAAAGTTGTAACCTCAACATCTTTTTTTACAAGTTTTACACAACTGAGAGAACTAGCATCCACCTTAAGCTTGGTGGACACGTATTTTAAAACAGTGTTCGGCTCTGTATCAGTTGCAAACTTTCCGACATGCCAAAATTTCTTGATCGGCAAAACATGAAGCTCTTCGGCATTAGGAGCCACTCCACTCCTTCTCCTCTTATTTCGAACTTGTGTGAAATTTCCTCTCTCAATATCCAGAGCATGATTAGAAGGGTCAACGACCGCGGAAGCCGTAGCAGCAGCAGCCGCATATGACTGGGGAGCTGCAGCTACGTTGGTAGGTCTCGGTTACGAGGCTTGGAATTTACATTCTGATTCAATGCAACATCTTTAGGGGGAACGCCTCCAAGAATTTATTATGAAGGCCCTGGTATAAGGGCTTTCAATTTATCATCGAATTCATCGATTTTAGAATGCGAATCATTCGCAACCAAACAGCTATCACATTGCCACAGTATATTTGGATTTAATAGGAGTTTGCGCACATCGTCCGGTAGGGCTACGCATGAAGTATGATAGGCGCGACGGCACAAAGAAGAGCAGCGAACAGCATCCGAAGCGCGAAGCTGGGCCAATGTAACATCGGTTTTGCACTCGGGACAGAGGGGAAGTAACATAGCGAGAATTTTAAGGACGTCAGAACACAAAGAAAGCTAGATGACGACTCGACTTTAGTTGAGTAACAGGTATCTGATAGTAGAGGTACTCGTCTTTAGCGATCTTCCTTGTTAAATGTAAATTTATTCGGAATTAGACCCGATTTAAAGCCTTAGTTGTTCTCGTCGTTTGCTTATAAGAAAGGTCGCGATTAAAAGTTTCCAGTAGTATAGATTACAGCGCATATTGCGTGTCGTTTGGCCTAACCCTAATTTCCCCAGGAGCTCTTCAGGATTAGGTGACCCGACACGTGCGCATCGCGTGTGTCCCTTTGTGTGCCGTGTTTCCATACGAGCTCTACCAATACATGACTGGTAGAGCATAACATTCCGGGGCGCCTGCAGCCCTTTCTAGGGAACGAATTCTCCGCTTTGTCCGCGTAAAATCGAAGACGGCGGCCAAGTTTTGGTCTTGAAGGCTGAGGAAAGGAAGGTCAGTTAATAGGAAGACAAATGTAAATGATTATACTCACCATATTTATTAAATGTCTGTAAAACCCGAAATGTGTAAGTGAGATGCCCCTGTGGGGGAGATGGAGCGGCTTCTGTCGACCGAGAATGGGTGTTGCTCCAGCAGAATCCTACGAGCATCCTTGGTTAGGTGGGAGCGCTTGGCTAAGTCAACGATAGCCACCAAAATTAACCATTTTTCCGTAAAATTGAATTTACTTACCTTTGTTTATGTTTGGTTCTTAGTGATGACAGAAAGTTGGGTGATGTGAGACAGCGTAGTTATCGATGTTTTATGTTGCGAGCTGTGGCATTCGGGATACTCCACCCTGGGGTAAAATATGAATTAGCGGCACTGCCGAAAAAATGCAGTTCGTAACATTGGTTTGTTCTAGCTGCAAAAATCTTGTACTTGGCACTTGGCATGGACTTTCGGAAGGCTACTGTGTAAATATCCTTGCCAAATACCTTCTTATTCTAAGCGTATAACAATGCTGAGTAGATCTGAAGGTTGTCATTATCTTTTTATGTGCTCCTTTCCCCTCCCTGACCACTGGAAGCTTTTTACCGTCCTATGTGCTTTGCATGTTTAGAGTTCTTTAGAACGCCAAAAAGGGTTCCATCGATAAAAACGGCTTCAGGGCACCTATTCACAAATGTTTGTATACAATTGACCCTGATCCTGAAAATAATATATATTTATAAAAAATAATAAATTTATATAAATTTAGGTTTAAGAGATAATTCAGTAAAAAAAGATTAATTGGATTGTTGAATGTTCCATTTATCCAAAATAATTTGGTTGAATTTTATAAACATTTAGAGGTAAGAAAGAGCACTTGAAGTTCAATATGCTAAGTGTGAAACTTAAGTTCGACACTGTATATGGTTAAAACATACACCTAAAAATGTCAAAACGGTTAACTTAATGATTATTTTTCTTATCGTGTTCCGCGCTTAAATTTAATTTATTGTTTCTTATTCAAAATCAAGTGACATTATTTTTACGGTTAAAATGTTGAGACGAAACAGCTCCCAAGTGGTAATTATCTCTTTGGATAATCAATTTATATTTTAAAATAGTGGTCTTTTTGACCACCAATAATATAGCTACAATAGAAACTCTCGGGCACCGACCTAATTGTTAGAGTTCTGACCGACTGAAAACTGCAGCTCGCACAAAAAAAGTTATCAGTCTACCAATATAAACAAATAACAGTGTTTCCTAAAAACTTACCATATGCTATGACCGTAAACTTAACAGAAAATATTGCAGAAAAATATACATTCACCACTTAATATTTAGAGATGTACTGAGCTGAGTTACCACATCATGGTAACTAGTGTGAAGCAGGTTATAGGACTTTTCCGTTTGAAAGCCGTCTAGAAAGTCGTTGTATATGTGTTTTGTTAAAGCGTTTTCGGGCTGGGATCTTGGAAGCTTCTGGTACATTTCCTCTAGTTGCTGGGTAAGTTCGCGAACATGCTGCCCGGTTATGGGTCGTACCTGTGCACCTCCGTTAACACAGCCTGAAGGACATGCCATAATCTCTACAAAATGGTAATGTGCACCTTTTCCACGCTTCAGTTTTTGAACCAGGTTTTGTATGTTCCGGAAGCCGTTGGCAATAGCAAATTTTAAGACGGCCTTGCCATCCTTTTCAAGAGTTATTTCTCGAAAGTCGCGATTTCTAAGTTGTTTGAACTCAAGCTCTTCAGGTGTTTCCTTGTTGAAGAGTTCTCGAGCAGCGAACTTGAATATGTGTTCTGCGTAACCACCAGATAGGGTCGCCTCGTGGGCCCACACCATAAATTCTGGTCTTATTTCAGACCAGGGCCAGTCCAGATCATCGGGGTCGTATTCAGCCAATGTTCGCTGGCGCTCGGTCAACATCTGTTCAACCTCAACTGCATATAAGATACATTATTTTCAGGTCGAATGTTATAGTTATCTCTCAGTACCTGATGTGATTACACAGTCCACGTCCTGTGCATTGTTCAGTTTGCTGAAGAAGTCATCACGGGAGGCCTCTAGCTTCTTATCGTAGCAGGGCATCACGGTCACATGGTAGATGCGCGATCCAGGAATATTCAGCTTGTCGGCTAAGAATTGCTTCACTAGCACTCCCATTATTTGCTGCGGCGATCGGGTGGTGGCAACGAAAGGCAGTATGAAGTTCCCATGAGTCTTTTCCGCATAGCATACCCACCCCGGACAAGAAGAACTGAGCATGGTCAAGGAATTGTTTTCGCGGTACCTTTCCATAAATTCCTGACGGCACTCAAGCAGCGCTAGATCATCGGCCACTTTGGTGCACAAAACATAGTCGGCTCCTAAACTGCGAAAGTACCCTGTTAAATGGCGCGCAGCATCCTCCGCCCCCATCTGATATCGCTGAGCTAAACTCAGTAAAGGCTGGGTAGCCACAGTGAACACAATGGTACGCACATTATCGCACTCCCCAAAGGCCTTTTTTTTTGAGTTCTCAGAAAGGACCTTGAGGAGCTCGTCCAGGCTCTGCTGGTTGATCAGAACGCCTTCGGCGGAAGTTATACACCCTGAGCAGGCCAGGCAGTCTTGCAGAGTGATTTCTACTTTTTTAAGTTTTTGGTTACCACTCTGCAATAGGATTTCAGATTGTAAAAGAATAATCTAGAGAGCTTAAACGCAACCCACCATAGATTCCTCAAAACAGCTGTCTCCCTTTACAGTGATTTTGGCTCCAGTCCTCGACGTCACCTTAACTATGGGCACAGTTTGCAAGGGTTTTATGCATATCTATGTATAGAAATTTTGAAAATTTACATTTACATCACACATATGTATATGTATTATGTAGTATTAAACCTGTGACGGCGTGATAAAGTCATCTATATCGGTGAGCTGTAAGGCTCCACTGAACCTTGACATGGCCTTTACTAAGGTTCCTTTAATAGGAATTACTGCAACAAAAAGTCTTAAAAATATGATAGGGGTGAATCTTAAAAAGAAAGATATAAGTACCTGTAAATAAATTCCAATAAATACCATCAGTAACCATTTAAATACAAATAATCTAAAACGAAATCTTTTATATCCTCTTCCCACTGATATCTCTCCAATCTACGTCATACAGCCTATTCACACTTTTCCTTCCTAAGGCCTCCCTTCAGTTCTGCAGTAGGGACGCGGTGACATGGCTCAAGGCAAAAAGCTTTTTTGTTTTTTTTTTGTGCCTAAAACGCTGTGCCGCTGTTGACGTCAGCAGAGAAGTCGGCGCAGTGTAGAAGACTGCCTACGAAAACGATCGTGCAACAAAGAGGCAGATATTCGGAGCTTCCCTCTCTTTCTTTGTCTTATAGTCTGCCTGCACTCGGCGCTCTCAGAGACAAATTTCGGCAGGTCCGTTATTTCTTTTGAGTCTCTCCGTTATGTCCGGCTAGCGACTAATGTTTCGGCGGAAAAATTTTCGTGGCGCAGCGACATGTGAGTTCCCTAATATTTTAGGAGCATTATTGTATATCGAAAAAAAAAAAAAAAAATATTGTTTTATAAAAGTAAATTATTTGATTATAGTAAAATTAAGTAAATTGAATTTACTTTTAATGTTATGCTTACGTATTATACATTAATATTACAATATAATTTTTTAGTTAAGTTATAGAAATTTAGTTCGTTAAAATTTATTGAAATATTTAAAACATTTTAATAGTACCATTTTTGATGAATTCCTTTTTATATTTTTTACTAAAAAAAGTAAAAGTTATGTAGTCGGATATTTTTCGCTTTAGAAAGGGTATAGGTGCAGTGGCACGCGCCTACTGCGAAGAGAAAACAAAAGAAATCATTCATTCTGTTTGAGTTATTGAAAGGGAAGCAAGCCATTTAAATTGTGCGCAGCAGATTTACTTCTTTCGTTTTTTAAAGTGAAAATAATAAAGTCAGGTAAGTGTTTCATTAAGTTGAAGATGTTGTGCATTGATCTTAGTTTAAAGTATTAAGGTATTCAATGGGTTCCGTAAGCCGAAAGTGGATGATGAAATGTTTTGCGCCAATAAAAATCCTGCAAAGGGCGCAAACACAGCTCTAAAAGGTAAATATGCAAATAAACAAATAAAACGCATTTTTTAAGCATATGACCATAAATTTTATCAGGAGCGTTGGCCAAGGATTCGGAAGACCTGGACAAAGGTTTAAGGAAGGCGATGACCAATGTAAAAAGCAAATTAACGTAACATAAAATTAGGCTTACTAACAATAATTGTCCTTTAACAGAAAACCTAAATAACATTATTTAATTAAAATATATTTCAAAGTATATACAAATTTATGTATTTTAAATTCTATAAGTAAAAAAAATTTTGATTTTCACAAGTGATTTCACTTGGGACGTGTCACTTGCAAGTGATTTCATAAGTGAAAACTCATGGAAAAAATTTGATTTTCACAAGTGATTTCACTTGGGACGTGTCACCGGCACGTGACAGGCCATACGAAAAATGAGTATAAGGAACAAGTGAAGTCCCGTGGGACTTCGAAAAAATTTTCATTTGAATTTTCACTTGTGAAAAGGCGGACATCCCATACAATTTTCTATATGGAGCGTCACTTGTTCTTCACTTGTGCAAGAGGACATGTCCCACGGGATTCACAAGGTGATTCACAAGTGAAACTTTTTTTTTGGAACTGAAGGGCTAGTACTCAGATCAGCTAAGAGTTTCACTAGTCGAAAAATATTATTCTTTGTGGTGTGACCAAAGTTTTCAAAGTTCACCCGCAGTGCGTGTGGCATGGTCTTACTGTCAAGCAGCAGGGCTTGTTGCCAAACGGAGCAATGTAAATAAGAGATTCTGCTGGTGCACAAAGAAATTGAAATTCAAATTAATGAAATGTTCAACAAATTTTTTATTTATTTAAATTAGGAGTTTAAAGCTTCCTTCTCGTCCCACGGATGCTTCGCCACCTTTCCCACGCCATCTGTAGTCCAGTTCCGAGTCCCAATAGGCTGGCCAATAATGGCTGGTGATGGCTCCTACAGCTGTCCCTTAGCGGACGACCTAATTTTCTCCTCCCTACAGAAGCCGGCGCGCCCACCATCTCTGCTTAAGCTGTCAAGTTGCTGGTGGAGATGGAGTGCTCACTGGAGATTCTTTAGTGGATCTTCTCCAGCGCTTCAACTATTCTGCAGATTTGCCTCGTTGTGGTATTGCTTCCTGTCGGTCAAGTCCCACAATAATGGGCAACAGCTTAAATTAGGCTCCCTTTTTTATCTGCACTGACCTCCATTGACCGTTTTTGGTGTTCTTTTCCACGTTTAGTTTTTAAATTCTCCACTGCTTCTGCACGAACACCGCCAAAGATTAAATTTCTTATTCTTTGGGCCGCGGCTAAAGGACATAATCGAAAATTCACTCGCGAAATGTGGTATTTTTTCTGGTATTTCCATAGCTTATCTGAGTACCGCGCTGAAAAACAGACCCGACGAAAAGCTTTAACCGCATGTTTGCCACTCGCTCACTCCTATGGCTTAAAGCCTAGTACTCAGATTGGCTAAGAGTTTCACTAGTAAAAAATCTTATTTTTTTAGTGTGACCGAAGTTTTTAAAGTTCACCCGCAATGCATGTAGCATGGTCTTACTGTCGACCAGGTGGGTTTGTAGACAAACGGAAAACAAATCAGCTGGAACAATTTAAAATAGAAGACTCTGGTGGTGCACAAAGAAATTGACAATTCAACAAATGAATTTTCAACGTATTTTTTTTATGTAAATTAGTATTTATAGCTTTTTTCTTGTCCCACGCAGGCGGAGGAGGGAAAGATGGCAATCTTTCCCGCGCATGGCAAGAAACAAAGGTGGTTTTCATTCCCAAGGCAGGGAAGGCCACTCACACCACAGCAAAGGATTTTAGGCCAATAAGCCTAACATCATTCCTGCTTAAGAGCTTTGAAAGAATGATAAGCCTACACATAAGGGCCACCGTAGACCCGACACAAATATCAGAAGCACAGCACGCTTACACCAAAGGTAAGTCAACCGAATCGGCGCTACACTTGGTGGTAAGCAGCATCGAGAAATCACTCAACATCAAGGAATACACGCTGATCGCCTTTCTGGATATAGAGGGAGCCTTCAATAACGTGCTCCCCACTGCTATAACAGAATGTCTCACAGAACTAGGGGTTGAGCCGCCAATGGTGAGGCTAATCCATAAACTGCTGATAAGCAGAATGGTCACAGTCACACTAGGGACCTCAACCCAGACTAGACTAGTGAACAGAGGCACCCCGCAAGGAGGTATACTATCACCCCTCTTGTGGAATATCGCAGTAAATAAACTACTGCGGATTCTGGGTGGAGGAGGTTGTAAGGTCGTGGCATACGCAGACGACGTCGCCATCATCTTAAATGGAAAATATCCACAAACACTTTGCGATCTTATGACCGCTAAACTTAAAATACTATCGGAATGGACGGTAGCTAACGGACTCGGGGTAAATCCCTCGAAAACAGAACTTGTTCTATTTACAAATAGGTACAAAATTCCACAACTTAACCCACCCGTTTTAAACAATTGTAATCTCTCTTTTAGCGATCACGCCAGGTACTTGGGGTTAGTACTAGATAAGCGCCTCAAATGGGGCTTAAACAACCAAGAGAGAACCAAAAAAGCGACCATTGCACTATACTCCTGTAAAATAACAATCGGGCTAAGATGGGGCATGTCCCCAAGAATAGAAATAGAACAAAATAACTGGATACACACAGCGGTAGTCAAGCCAATCCTACTGTACGGAGTGGCTCTGTGGTGGACCGCCTTGCGCAAACAATGCATACTAACTCCTCTAAACAAAGTGCAGCGAATGGCGGCTTTGTGTATTAGTGGAGCCCATCGAACCCTAGCCTGGACTTAGCAGGCATGGAAAGGGCCAAATCGGCAGCTATTCTACTGAGGGACACATGGCAATGGAAAGCCCAATTTTATGGCCATGCTAAAATTCTCCAGCATGACATCGTAGGCAACTGCAGAGCGGAAGAATTAGCCAGGCAGGACACCGCCAAGCCTCTCCTCCCAGGAGAGGAGAAAGTCGGTATGCCCATGGCTACTTGCAAGCTAAACATAAAAAACTACTTCAACACACTAGCCAACACCCATTGGCAAAACGCACCACACATCTCTCACCAGACATGGCCTGTCATAAACAACAAAAAAACCTCGGAGTTACTCAAGCTCAGCCGCACAGAGTGCGGCATGGCGCACATGCTTGCAGGCTAAAAGCCCCGCAAAATGATTTCTGCAGAAGCTATAGGGATGAGGAAGAAGTGGAAACGGTAGAATACCTGCTCTGCTTCTGCCCAGCCCTATGCAGACTCAGACTGAAACACTTAAGAAGCCACTTAATCGACGACCTTACCGAAATATCGGAGATTAATTTCAAAAACATAAGTGCCTTAATTAAATCTTCCGGGTGGAAGACATGCTTAACACAGGCTGAAACTACTAAAAACGGGACCCTAGAGAAGGAAAAAACGAGATCAAGCGGTATCACAATGGACCCATTGAGGTCTAAGTGTGTCGGACTATAGTCCGACAGCCGCCCTTACCTAACCTAACCTAACCCGCGCCATCTGCAGTCCAGCTCCGAGTCCCAGTAGGCATATTTAACCTTGAGGAAGTGAAAGCCGGGTTGGGAACGGGGTTGTTTCGCCTGATGCTGCATGAAGTCGGCCAGCATCCTGGTGATGGCTGGTGATGGCTCCTCTAGCGGTCATTCGCGGGCGACCTTATTTCCTCCTCCTCCTTACTTATAAAAGCCGGCGCGTCCACCATCTCCGCCTTAGCTGCCAAGTAGCTGGTGGAGGTGTAGTCCTCAATGGAGAGCACGTCGTAGATCTAGCGAAGTCCGACGTTTTATCCCACTGGGCTTCTCAAGTGGATCTTCTCCAGCACTTCAACTATTCTGCGGACTTGCCCAGTGGTGGTATTGCTTCCTGTCGGTCAAGTCCTACAATAATGGGCAACAGCTTTGCTTAGGCGTCCTTTTTCATCTGCATTGCCCTCCTTTAGGCGTTTTTGGTGTTTTTCTTCCATTTTTAATTTTAAA